CTTCTGGCCCTATAGCCCTCGGGCCCTATAGCCCAATAGCCTTATAGCCCCAATAGCCCTATAGCCTTATAGCCCCATAGTTAGCCTTATAGCCCCATAGCCCTATAGCCCTAACAAGATTATGATAAGGGTTTTTGTTTCTCTGGTATCATTCGTAAGGAAAAGGTGTGGAGGAGGAAGAAAAGGAGGACGAGGAGGAGGAAGAAGAGGAGGAGGAGATGGATGCGAAGTTCCAGTGCGCCCGGTATCCTGCTCGCAGGAGGTCTTTGAGGGCTCAAGGCGGCCCCAACAGGGCCAGCGACGTCCGAAAAGTTGACCAGTAGAGCTCAAAAAACTTTACCCATACGACCACCCTGCGGGTGATAAGGACGTTTGGGGGGGGAGGGGGCCAGCAATGGGCAACAATGCTGATTGTTGTTCTGACGATGCCAGTGGAGATTGTTGCGTTGCCGAGACACGTTCGCTGTGTCTACGCTTTCGGGGACTGGGGCTCGGAATGGAGACGCCTGAGTTTAGGCTGGCGCTCCTCCGACCAATAACTGCTGTCCACTTGTTGGAAAGTCATGGGGGACGCCGCCTGACTGGAGCCCTGCAGCGGGCTCGTCACAACGGCTTTCCACTCCGCTGCCATGCTCTTCTGCAGCGCCAGGACTTCATCTTTGGAGAGCTTGACGACGTCCCGTCGGCCGCGCTGGCAATGCTTGGCGCCGGGCATTCGACAGCGGAGGCGAGCACGAGAGCCGCTTCTTTGTCCAAACGGTAGGTCAGCATCTTTTTGAAGTCGCAGTACCCGACCAAATCGATCTTACCATTTCGCGCCCTCCGTCGGCTCGGACAGTGGACTCAGGGTCTCTGTCGAGGTCACTCTGGAAGCCTCATATGTTAGCACCTTTTTATCCTCGAGGGACTCCATTTTGGTTTCACTTTGGCCGCGCACAAGCAGCCACACCCGGTTTGCACCGATGTTGCCATCGTCGCGGCAGACCGCCAAACCTTGGAGCGGATTTTCGACGATGCGATTCACAGGCACCAGCAGAACGACATCGCCGGACACCACGGAGAGGCCGCAGCACATACGCAAGGCACTCGTGGAAACCCTTGCGTCCAGAGGCGCGATGCCCACCTCCATGATGCATCACTTGGCCACCCCCTTCTCTTGGCGGAGAATGCCCCAGATGTTGAACCGGTGCTTGGCGCCTGTCAAGGACTGGGCGTCAAGCTGGGCCGCCACCTCGTCAGGAGTCGAGCAGTCGTAGACTGTCGGGGCGGCATCGGCGACCACGTCTACGTACACCCCCCAGGTGCCATCCCGAAGACAGCAACTCCAGGGGAATTGGCGGCCGTCCTACGTGTGCATCGTGTCCCGCTGCAGCCGCGCATCCAGGAGGCACAGGTTGATCTGAAACGTCATGGGCTGGGGGTGGGCAGTCGCGTCGGCCAACGCCACAGCGCACGTGGAGCGTGCCGCGGCCTCCATGACATTCGCTAAACCGGCGCCGGAAGACGGCGCCCATTGGGCGGCGAGCATCTCGGCCGACGCGCTGGTGGCGTCCAAGCTTGTCAAAGACTAAGCCTGATCTCCCACAGTGCTGATGCGGGCCCCTGGCCAGATGTTGATATTCACTTCGCCGTTCTCAAGCGCAGCACTGCATCCGAGCACAGCGACGCCAGACCCCGGGCGCACGCGGGCGAAGTACTCGCGCGCCTTTTGCCGCCCGGCCACCACGATCTTCCCGCCGCCGGCATCTGCGAACTCCGCTTCGGCCACCATTAGGAGGTTGCCGTTCTTAGTGGTTTGCTTGGAAGTGCCGATGCCAAGGATCTTGCCGCAGAAGTCGAACGCCGCCCGGCGGGCTGCACTAGTAGCACTCCCCTTGAGAAGCTCAACGATGCCCTTGATGTCCAATGCGATCTGCAGCCCCTTAGCGGGATACGCCAACGCTTCCGGGCTGGTGGGCGGGGCTCGGGTCGGTGTGGATGGGTTGCAAAGCAAGACCACCGACTTCAACGGGCCGCCGAGGAAGTCCGACTTGGCTCTGGTGTCGAAGCTCGGGTTCCGGAGCTCCCACACGGAGTCCGCCGTGAATGCTCTAAAGGTTTCGATTGCCGCAGTCCGATTCTGGAAACTGACGGGCACTGCGCCGACCGTGCACTGCGCGGGCGCGTTGGACACCAAAACGCAATTGAACCTCTGCGCCTCCACTTTTTCGTTTCTCGCTGTGAACGTGTAATCAAGGACCTTCGGGTCGAGGACCTTCACGTGCCAATTGGCGCACTTGGCCGTCTGGGCGTTCATGTTCTTCACCGTCTCCACACTCTTGTCGAGCATGTCGGCTGGCAAAGCCTGGCCCCTCGAAGCGAGGCCGAAGGAAGTGCGCGACCGAAGTGGGCGCGTTCGCGGCCCCCCCGCGCGCCGAGCGCAACAGAAGATTTGAGCCGAAATCCCTGATTGGTAAGAGAATTGATGGGGGTGGACTCAACGTCTCACTCAATCGATCTCATAATGGACCCCACGATCGATGTCAAAATCGATCTCACTCGATCGATCACATTATCGATCTCGCTCGATCGATCTCCTTATCGATCTCACGATCGATCCCACTCGACATGGGAGCCCTGGTGTTCAGGGATAGTTGCGTTTCGGGCTCGCTCACGGGAGCCTCGGTGTCGAGTTGTTTACGTCACCCGTCGCTCTTGGGCGCCCTGGCACCACCGCCACCCCCCCCGGAACCAACGAAGCAATAAATTATTACGTTCATTTTGCAAGGGCTTGGGGGGCCGTTTGGGTTCATCTTTTGGACCCCTTCGGGGGCTCTCGGGGGCCTCTTGGGGGGCTCTTCGGGAGCCTCTTGGGAGCCTTTTCGGGCTTCTTGGGGGCTTCCAGGGGCCTCCAGGGAGCTTCTTGGAGCGACCCTCAAGAGCCTGTTCCGCCAACGTTCGCACTGGGAGCCTTGATGTTCAGAAATTGTTGCGCTGCCGCTTGCTATTGGCACAGCCTACAGCACTGGATGTCGGTGTGCCTGACGCTTTGCAGCTGCATTTGCTTATCGATGTGCATGTCGATTGGCTTTTCGATCTGAATTTCGATATGCAGATCACGACCGGTCCCATGATCGATCCCAGGATCGATCTCACTACCTACCTTACTACCGATCCCATTCGATCGGTCTCACTAGATCGATCTCATTGTCGATCTCACTATCGATATCGTGTTCGATCCCACTATCGATCTCACTATCGATATCACGATCGATTTCACTCCATCGATATCACTATCGATCTCTCTGTCGATCTCACTCGATCGATCTCACAATCGATCTCGCGATAGATCCCATTTTCGCTCTCACTATCGATCCCGCAATTGATCTCACCATCGATCTCACTCGATCGGTATCATTACCACTTTCGCATTTATTTCACAATCGATCTCACTATATCGGTCTCATTGTCGTTTTCGCACCACCGGGACACCGGCGGGACACCGCGCGGCCCCGTTTGCCCGTCGGGAAACATTTGGTCCGGCCGCGCCTCAGCCACAGGAGACTTGCCGGGACACCACCGGGACACCGGCGGGACAACGGCGGGACACCGCGCGGCCCAGTTTGCCGGGAGGGGAATCCTTTGGTCCGGCCGCGCCTCAGCCACAGGAGGGTTCCCTTTCACCCGCCCACGCAGTTTCGCGTCGCCCGCACGCACGGCACGCACGAACACAGAACCGAAACCGATTTCCCGGCGGGGGGCTCTCCACCCCACTTCGATCTCACCCCCCAACCTCAGTTTTTTATAGCTTATATTGTCGAGGACAAAAGAGGAGCAGGAGTATGAGGGGGAAGTTCCGGAAACAGACTCGGGAGCTTTCGACCCAAGGCGGGAGTTGATTCACAGGCGTATCTATCAGCATGGCCATCATAATCCACATAGTTTTCTCATCTCACTCATCACCATCACTATCATCATCCACTCTTCCCTCCTTCTTCGTCGACCCCCCCCCATCAGGAGCGTTTCCAAAAGGATTTCGCTTTGGAGGATAGAGTGAGTTGTCATCTGTTCCTCGGTGGAAGGCGGTGGAAGTAAAAGACGAGGCCGCCTCCGTCGGCGGAAGCCGGCGGAAGGTTGGCGGAAGGTGGCGGAAGTAGAAGACCCGCCCCCAAGAGGTGAAAGCGTGTTTGGGACCAGGGTTTCCAGAATCAGCCCTTTGCTCGCATCCCTCTGCTTGCCCCCCCCGCTCCTTGCACGAGCCGCCCGTGGCCTGCTCCACCGCAGCCGTCGTCTAGGTGTACTGCAGGAACAACCGATCGTAGGTTAGAACCTGGAAAAACTTGAGGAGGAGGAGGAAGAAATCGAATAGCATGAAGAACGATAACACGAAGTAAGGGAAGTGTAGGTGTTCTTTGAGAAATATGCTGACGATCACTCCAAAGCGTATCAAGGACCAATAAGCCCATGCGCACGACTGCGACCATGAGCTCACTGCGCCGCTTACATGAAGTGTGCGCTTGGAAAGTAGTCCATCCCGACGCAGTGGTAACTCGAGGTTGTCTTCCCCACCATGAGGGCGTGATCTTGTAGAGGGCATTGAGTTGCTTCCGGAAGTCGCCGAAAGACTCGCTCTGGCACTCGGAGACGAGGTGGCGCAAACTAGGCCACACCTCCTTACCACAATAAGGACACCGTTGCGCTGTGCACCGGCGCCCCCGGGTTGGCGATGAGGTCGCTCCACACATGAAAATATGCATTTTTGAATAGCGTTCCGCCGGCAAGGCATCCCGAAAGGTCTGCCAAGGCTTCTCTGACAGGGCCGACACGTCGACCTCCTCGACGCCTTCAGCATCGTTCCGTGTGTGTCTGGTGAGGGAGAGAGCGCGCACTCGGCATATCTGCCGGAGGATGTGCGCCACCTTGTCCCCTTCGTCGCTCCAAAAGGTCTTGCGCCGACCAAAAAGCCGGACGACTCGGTGGTCGTGCTCTTGCTCACGAAGGCCGAAACAGACGCCGCGGTCCTCGTGGAAGGTCAGGAAGTCCAGGCCCACGGCATCCAGGTACTGCTCGAAATTGTGCTTCAAGAAAGAGCTCCACTCCAGGTCCCGCGTCGTGATCCTCTCGATCGCCGTGAGAACCGTGGTAAATACTGGGTGCAGGTTGAAGTTGAGGGCCCAGAAGCGCCCCCTGCACCACCACGTGCATTTCGTCCGTAAGACGGCCCTCATCACCTCGCCCGTGGCCTGGGGCGGCGCCAGGGAGAAAACAGGGCAGCACCACAGCCACAGGGGCTTCGCATATGCGCCCACAGCGCGCGATCTGGTCGCGGCTGATCCTGGGAGGCCCCGGATGGCTTCGAGGCGCTTGTGGAGCTTGGACCAGCCAGCCCCCGGCGTGATGTCCACGTCTGGGTCATCAGGTACAGCCAGAATGCCCACGTGCTCGATGGCTTTGCCTTGGCCGCGCACCCAGCGCTGCCGCTTGGACTCGTTCTCGATGGCACCTGTGCCAGTGTCGAACTCGTCCGTGCTCTGGATGTCGGAGTCGAGCTGCGCCTTGGAAGAGTAGACCAGCGACCGGTCATCCATGAAGAGGAACTTCGTGCCGTGCGTAGTCCACGGCGAAAGGACCTCGCATAAGACTTTTGGCGCGCAGCTATCGCCCTGGGCCAGGCTGCGCGTCGGCCAGATTTCTGCGTCAGCGAGCTCCCCTGCAACTTGGCATATACGGGGCCCCGTCCACGCAGCGTGGGCCACGGCAGTGACCAGCTGGGGCGTGCCCGACTTGTGCAGCGCAGCGAGCCCAACCTCGTGGGGAACGTTATCGTAGCACTTCGATAAGTCTCTCTCGGTGCCGCAATCGCCCTCCTCGCAAGATCGGAGCCAAAGGCAGCACGCGTGGACAACGGATGTCCCAGACTTGCACGCATATTGAGCTTCTTGTGGCGCAGGTAAGCTTGGTTCGCAGGCCGTCAGCCAGGACCGGAGCAAGCACGACCCCACGCCGATGGAGCGGCTTTGTGTCGGATCCTTTTTCGGCACGCCGACGACGCGCCAGCAGAAGAGTAGCCGTTGAAGTTCTCGCAGGGCGTCTTGGCGCCCGAACTTGATACCCTCCTCCGAAGCAAGGCCGGCCTCCGCGAGGAAGAAGCAGGTGTCGCACCAGAGGTCATACAATTCCCGCACTAGGAACTCGAGCTGGGAGGCCATGAGCTTGAGCTCGGAAGAATGCCAGCCGTTATAGCCGGCACTTCCTTTGCCTTTCTTCACCGCCTTCACAAAATCAGCATAAGTGGGAACCCAATCTGCTGGACACGTAGAAGTGGGAAGCGGCTCGCGCATCTGGGACGCGTACCATTTCCACTGCTCTGCACACTGCTTGCCGTCGAAAGTGCTGGGTGGGCACCAGATCTGTTTCCACTCCTTGGCCATGTCGTTTGTTCTGAAACGTGGGCACTCCCCGCTTGGCTTGAGGACCCCGGAGGCCGCATTCCAAGTTTCAGGGGTGAAGGTTTTGAACAGCTGCTTCCAGTCGCTCGAGACCTGCTTCTGGAGCCGGCCTTGCTCGCGAGTGATTGATTTAGACACTAGGTAATGTGCTCTGCCGTAGGATGGGACGCCCGAGCCGTCGACGTCGATGTATCCACGTAGGCATTCACGTACAAATTGATCCAAGAGACCGCCCTCGAGAGGGCGCTGTGGACCATCGCGTAGACCATGGGCTATGCGCCGACCGAGCCGCTTGAGCCTCGCCAGGGCGATCGGCTCGTTGGGTCGCCGTACCGGCTCAGAGGCAACGGGTCGCGAAGAGGGTGTGGATCCCTTCGGCCGCTCGCCGCCCTCGGACTGCTCCAGGAAGCCTTGGGTGACTCCAACCTGCATAGCAAGCTCTGCTCGCGCGTGCCATCGATGCCAGCGCTCAAAAAGAGGGTCGGCACGGGGCAGGACAGGTAGACGCTGCCGTACTTCAGCTTCAAGGGCTTGGATGTCCTCCGGGAGGACAAGAGCATCAGGGTCACCGACGTACAGCGCCGTACGGTGTAGCCTTGTGGTGCGCCTGGGAGCGTGGAGCACGCCAACTTGGTAAGTAACCAGGGCGTGGTAGGGGATGCCCTCCACGAACTGTGACGACAACTGCATGAGAGCAGCGCCCTTGGCCAGGACGCGCGTGGGAGCTGTGTTCATAACTGTGGTGCTTTGGGCCTCGCACAAGTCGACGCCGTCGTAGACGCACTGCTTGTAGCAGGGCCGCCAGTTGAGGTCACCCCCGACGACCCAGATAGATGAGCCCGAAGAATGTTGTTCTGCAAACTGGATCACCTCCTCCATCCAGGGCACCGGCGTACAGCTAGCGGGCCCATAGGCACTGACAAAGGTGCCGCAAGCCACACGGATCGCCACGTAGCGGTGGGAGCCACGGCGTACTGCGGCCTGTCCCAAAGATGGTCTCCAGAATATGGCCGTCCCACCCTGCATGGGGACGCCCTTCGCGTTCCGGTTTGGCGGCGTAGAGCAAGCTGCCCGCCACCCGTATTTGAGGGCCGTCGAAATCACCCAGCCCGGGGTGCTCGAAGCCAGGAGGACCTCCTGGAGGAGCAGGACGTCCACGTGCTTCAGGGCCTGGTGGCCCAGGATGGTCTCCAACCGGTCCTTCCGCAGCACGGTGACGTTGAGCGTCGCCACCTGCAAGAAGCGTGAACAGGGACCCGGTGCATTAGCGGACGAGTTGCTCTCCGTCGCTCCAGAGGTCTCGTCCCCGCCTCCCCAGAGAGGATCATGAGAAATACCGATTGTATCAGCATCAACATGTGCAGCGTCTGCATCAATATGTCCAGGAGCAGCAAAACAAACTGGAACAGCCTCAAAAACATCGCGAGTGGCACGCTCAGCATGCGGACCTGCTTGAGACAGATCCTGGCCAGAACCTCCGAGAGGACCATGAAGACGTCGAGGACCTGCCAGAACATGGTCCCGGCCAGAACCTCCGCAGAGAAGACGGCCCGCCTCAGGGAGAGGAAGACCGCGAAAACATCGATGAGTACGTCCAGCACGCGCACCTGCTGAAAACAGATGCGCCGCCGCGAGGCAGACATCTGCTCCACCGCAGATGTCTGCCCATCCTCGCACACGCACCACCGCGCCCGGAGGGGCGCGTGCAGGGCACCGGGTCGGCCGCAAGAGCGCGGGGTCGCACCAGCGGCGGGGTCGGGTGAAGGGCTGGCGGAGGGTGCGCGCCGGTCGTTGAAACTAGGTGTTTCTGGACTCCCAGGTCCCAATCTATTTCTGTAAGGGCCGTGTCCCCCTACAGCTTGGAAAATCAAAAGCATTGTTTGAGAGCTTCGAGGGGGGACTCAGAGGCACCGTTTGAAAGCCTTTTGGACCACTCAAGGCCCCTCTATGTTATGTCATTGGGCTGGCAGACGGTACACGTCGGTCGCTGAAAGTAGGTATTTTGGATTCCCAGATCCCAATCTACTTCTAGCGCCTTCCTGCTTCAAGAACCGGCAGGGTCTTGACTTGTTCCGTTAGTCTCTGTGAGGGCTCGATGTCGATCTACTCGATCCGCTTTCCTACTGCATGCTTGTCCCCACTTCCAACCGACGTGTAAGATCGAAATGGGAACAGGACGAATGGGGACGAAGACCGACCGCAGCTCGTGCAAGTGTTGAACAGGAGTCGCTGCCGGTGTCGCCGCGGACGTGGTCCATGCGTCGGGACAGGCGTTGCTTGCCCAACAGCAGGCGCTGTCGGTTTTGGACAGCATTTTGCTGTTCTGTTGGGCATCGTCCCGATCTGTCCCGAGATGTTTCCATCCCCGTCCATCGCGGGCGCGCCAGCGGAGGGGTGTGGCTCGGTGACGAAGGAACAACACACACCCATACCCATAAGGGGGTCGTTTGGAGGAGGACTGGCCATGGGTATGAGTGCGGGTTGTCGGACCCTGGGGGGCGCTCCCGTTCAAGCGGGGACCCCATCCGACAGCACGCACCCATGGCCCTCTCCGACCCCCCTACTATGGGTATAGGTGTGTGCTTTTCGTTCGTCAGCTTGGGGTGCGCAAGGACGCCCCAGCCTGGGGGCAGGGACAGGAGAGCAGGGGGCAAGGAGCGCAGAATCACGGTCTGGGCACTCGTTCCCTTTTGTCGTGCGTTTCATCAAGCGGGAGCGGTCGAAGAAGTCGGAAGAAGCCTCGAAGCATAGCCAGTCCAAGAAGGTGAAGGAGGAGGTCGATGTCCCCAGCGGCATGACCATCTCCAAGGGAGTGGAGTTGGGGCTAGGGCTGCTGGAGCGGGACCTCATCAAGGACTACTGCATCGGGCCTTCAGCGCTGAAGGGCGTGAAGCCCAAGTAAACGATGATAAGTCGAAAAATAAGAAGAAGAAACAAAAATAAGAAGAAGAAGAAGAAGAAGCATCAAAAGTCTTCTGGGGAGCTCGCGCTGGTGACGTCAATGGTGACTCCGCCAGGCTGCTGGTGAGGCCGGAGGTCAAACCTTCTTGGTGAGGCACGCTCAGGCACCAGTGGGAGGGGAGAGGAAGACCTCCTCCTCCTACTCCTCCTCCTCCTCCTCCTCCTCCTCCTCCCTCCTCCCTCCTCCTCCTCCCTCCTCCCTCCTCCCTCCTCCCTCCTCCCTCCTCCTCCTCTGGCTCCTCCCGTCCGCCCTCCACGCCCTGGCACGGGGGCACCTCTCACGCTCCGCCATTCGCCGGGCTTCGCCCCCGGGGTCCGGCGCCGAGAGGCGTCGCGCGGCGGTGGCGGTTGGGTGGTTCCCCTGCGTCGCAGCGCTTTGGCTGGTGGTGGGGCTGGCACTCGTGCACTCGCCCTCGCCGCAAGGGACGAAGCTTGCAGCGGCCTCCCAGAAGAAAAGCACTAGCATGAATCAGAAGAGCAGAACACGGCTGTACAAACAAAGCTGGACCCCCACAAGAGAAACACAGTACAAGTAAGACAAGTGATAGAATCAAAGGCGCAGGTCGTGCCGCCGTCGGAGCGGCATCAGGGCATGGAGGCGGCCGCGCTGGGGGCTCCAGCGGCGTCCTCCGAGCTGCGGGAGGAACTCACGAAGATGCTGGAGGTCCGATCGAGCGGCAAGTCCGAGAGGGCTCTGGAGAAGGGGCTCGAGCCGTGCGGGGGAGGGGCGGCTTCAGCTAGCGCTTGGCGCTAACCGGGTGCCTGCTGGCTCGCGGGGGATCTCTTCCCTCGCTCGTGGGATGCGAAGGAGCCTGCTTCATGACAGCCTAGACAGCAGCTTCCCTCCTCCCCCGTCTCCTCCTCCTCCTCCTCATCCTCCACCTTGCGGCCACGCTCCACCTCCTCCTTCTCCACCACCTCCTCCTGCTCCTCCTCCTGCTCCTGCTCCTCCTTCTGCTCATCATCATCCTCCTGTTCCCCTGCTGCCGCTTGCGCGGCACCGCGGCCCTCCTCCCCTTCCCGCTTCCTGGGTTCGGGAGGCTTCGACGTGGCCGGGATGATCCAGAGCTGCGGGTTCGGACTCAAGCGCTTCCCTTGATGCGGAGCTGAGCAGCCCGCGCCGCGCCGCGCCGCGCGCGCACGCGCGCGGGCGCGCGAGAGGCGGCCCAGCGTACCACAGGGCACGAATTCGGGGGACGGGATGCTCGGCATCGCTCGGACGTGTGCACTTTGTCTCGGCGGGGACCATCGAGGAGCCTGTTGGGTCATCTTGCAAGACATGAGCGCGCGAAGACGAAAAATGCGCGAGGAATGGACGTCCGAGCGATGGCGAGGATGGGGCACGCAGGGGGCAGCTATGCACCACCACAGTGCCTGGCCAGGACCATGCTGGGCCCTGGCCGAGGCCGGGATGGGCGATACGGCACCCTGGGGCGCCGAGTGTGTGGCGATGCCCGTTGCGGACGGGAGACCTGGCAGCCCAGACAGCTGCCAGAGGTCTGGACCTCTTTCCAGGGGCCGGTTTTTCATCCCGGGTTTGCTCGTTGACGCTCCTCGGGCGCAGGAAGGGCCCACCCGAAGGCCGACAATGTTCGCGACGCAAGGATGCCAGGGAAAAGCTGCAGCGGCTGACGCCTGGCGTGGGAAGGGATCCTTGCCGAAGGTCTCCCCGGCTTCTCTCCCGCCACGTTGGACTCCCCAGTGCCACTTGGGCCTCCCCGGACATCCTGGGGACACCTTGGGCCAGGGACACTCTTGGCAACAGCCGATTCGGGGGGGGTACGGATTTCTCGGAGCGGCGCTGGGCCCTCCTGGCTGTGCTTCCGGCGCCAACCCCAGCTCGCTCCGCGCGCCATCGAGGGGGATTCAGCGCCGATCGAATAAATCCGCGCGGACCTCCGAAGAATTATGTTCATGCCGGTTTTTCTTCTTCTGATGACCACCAGCGTTTCGGCCAGGCCGTCCGGCTTTACTTAGGCCAGGAGGGATTGCCGACGATTCGATGCTCAGGACGGGTCTGGCCGGGGCCTGTGGTGTAGAGTTTGTTGCCCCGATGTGAACAAGCGGAGGATGAGGGAAAGTTGGACGGACGCGGCTAGCCATGACGAGGCGGCAGCACGCACCAGAATTCGATACACGCAGTATGCGTTCCCGTACGCTGGCTGCGATTTTCTCTGCCATCTAGCATTGCATGTATCTTCCGCCCTTTGCCTCGTCCTTCGATTCTTCCTCATCCTCCTCATGTTATTCCCATGTCACAACGAGACTTGTTTGCGACGCTCTGTTTTTTTCCAACCGGTAGGACTAGTTAAAGGTAGGTTCTGTTCATGACATGTATACATACCTACATGTATATGCACAGACATACACACACTCACCTTGTTTCCGAGCAGAAGAATCGCTCCGTAGCCGCAGCCATCGCTTCGGTAGCCGTCGCTCCCCAGCAGCGAACCCAGAAGTCAATGCTGCCCGGCGGCATCCAGCGGACGTGTCCCAGTTGTTCCCGCTTGAGGCTTCCTCTCGAGTCCATTCTCCGTTGGTCTCTCCTCGTGGCCGCCTCCTGGTCGCCTCGTCGCTGGGCAACCTGCGGATGCCCCGTCGCGAGCCCGTGCGCTGGCTGGCACTTCCGGGTGTTTGCTTGGTGGCAGGCCGCCTCATCGGTTGCACCACACTTTTCACAACATCGCTTGCACGACATAGCCTGCACCACAGATCTTGCTACGCGTCTTGGTCCACACGGTTGGCACCACATTGATTGCACCATCTACCTTTTCACGGCATAGTTTGCGCCACATAGCTTTGGTCTCAAAGCTTGGAGCACGTAGTTTGCACCACGTTGCTGACACCAGATAGTTTGCACACTATTGTTTGCACCACATAGCCTACATAGACATTTCTCACGCAGCGTAAATCGCACCACAGATCTTGCGCCGCATAGCTGACAGCACACAGCTTGCACCACATGACTTGCACCACGCAGATTTTACCACGCAGGAACAGTTGACCAGCGCCCAGGAGGCAAGGCCCAGGAGGCAATACCCATATATATATATATATATATATACAAATACATACTGGGATACCCTGCTGTCTGCGGCGAATCCCGCCACGGTGCTTGCGCATCAGCCTAGCAAGGAAGGAGGTTGTCACTGAAACCCACTAAACTTCAGACAGGGTGCTCAATTGGATCGGGTCTTGAACACCCCATTCCTTGTCTGCAGCCTCGACAACCTTATTAGTCTTGCTTGGTCCTCCTCCTGCTCCTCCTTCTCTTTCTCTTAGCTTCCCTTTCAATGCATATTAGAAGCTCTTCTGCGGTTTCTAGCCCCTGGGTTCTCAGAGCTCTTAGGGGGGGATTCGGCGTGCCCTACAAGCCGGGCCAGGGCCAGATGGCGCACGTGGAGCGGGCTTTACACTCCCACATTCTGGAAATAGAGGGCGCGCTCATATGACAGATGACCCCATAGCTCACGCGAGCTGGACTCGACATAGCTGCGCGTAGGACACGAAGGGCATGGGAAGCCATCGCAAAGAGCATCTCTCAGAGTTTGCCGCCAGAGCTGGACTTGACATAGCTGCGCGCAGAGTTCGCCGCCATGGAAGAGAGCATCTCTCTCCAGATGTTTCCCATGACATGGCGGCTCATTATATTCTGACTTCGCCATCACCGCATATCGCACTAGCAGCGCATCAGATCATGGGAGAGGGGCATGACATGCAGAGTTCGGCACCATCGCAAATCGCATCGTCAGCCGTCTCTATCGGCATGGGGGCCCAGACATTGAGAGTTCGCCCACATCGCAGAGAGCATCCTCAGTCTCTCTGGGATTGAGAGGCCAAAATCAGAATTACGCTACATCGCAGAAGGCATCGTCAGCATCATCGCAGAGAGCAGATTCCGTTTCTCAGGGCATGGGAGGCCCCGCCCAGAGTTCGCCGCCACAGTCGAGCGCACCGACGAGCCTGGACGATAAAATTGTTTCGCTGTTTGCACATGCCTGAACCATCCCGTGAGTGTGCTTCCCGAGCCCCCTTCCTCCCCACTCGACCTGTGAGCCCTGAGCATGTCCAGATCCGCGCAAGAATTCCACCACGCGCTTCTAGGGACACCTTCCAGGGGAGTGGAAGTGCCCCGAAGCGGCCCCGTTGGTCGTCTATCCTCCCTCCCCAGCTTCAGCGCCAGCTTCATTCGTCTTGGGGCGCTTCCTTTCCAACACCCGTATCCGGGCTACGTCCACGGATCGACGCGCCGACGATGATGTTTTGAATCTCGTGGGATCGAGAAGGCGATGAGACCTGCGGCGCGGATCCTGTCGGCGTGTGACTTCACGGCTCAACTCGGGCGTAGCCCGATCCTAAAAGGCATTCCGCGATTGACGACTTCACGAGCTGCTTTCCCCGAAGGATCTCATCCGACACACACACACACATAAATATAGATAGAAAGAGAAAACTTGCACACAAAATAACACACACTAAATAGATAGAGCACGCAGAATAGATAGAGCACACAACATAACACAATAATGGGTAGAGGATATGGACGAGCATGGACAGAGCACACCCAATTAGCACTCCAGCCAGGTCGTTCCGAGGCCCGCCCGCGCAGCGCCCACTTCGGGCGCCCGCGCGGTGGAGACGCCGGCAGGGCTGGCGCCGCCCGCGGGCTCTGGCCGCCCGGGGCCCGGGAAGGCGGAGGACGACGGCGGCCAGAGCCCTCGCGCCTCGAGCCCCCCCTGCCTCGAGCCCCGCGGCCGCGCCAACGGCGAAGCAAGACATCCAATCGCAGGAATAGGGGGACGAAAAGTGGCATAACCATAAAAACTCGGAGGTCCGAGTTTTTATGTTAATGTCACTTTTGGTTCCCCTAAGGAAGGCGCGGTTCGTGGCCAGACCAGTTAGTTGTAGGAGCGCGCGGCTTGCGCGGTCCTGCCGCTCGCCGCGTCGTTCTCGGTCGATGCATTCGCACAGCTGAAATGTAGGAGAGCGTGGCTCGTGGTCTCCTGCAATTTGTTCTGCGCGAGCTCGGCGTCACAAAACGCGGATTCCCAGCATCGCTATTAACCGACATCGCCGTCAGCGCGGCCTTGGGAGCCCCAAGCCTCGGCCGAGGGTTCACGCTCCTGCTCCGAGCCTCGAGCCTCGAGCAGGCAGGGCGCGCCGCCGAAGTCGGCAGACTCCCTGGCGCGCCTGCGCCACGGTCAGCACCCTCGAGGGCCGATGCCCGTTTTCGGCATTCTCGAGCATTGCAGCGGCCCGTCACGCACCGCAGGGACACCTTCAAGCATGGAGTTCGTCTCCCGAAGAGAAGGTTACAGCAGCTGTGTAAGCGGTCGAACCTGACGATGCCTACATTGCTTCCACCGAGGCTGGACGGCCATGAGGCACGCCAGAGCCTGCCTCAGCGGCCGCGCCGTTCCTTTCGTGCTCCCCCCGTCTCTTGGCCCACACATCCATCCGACGTTCGACGCCTGCCAGCCACCGATGCTCCCGCGCGACTTCGAGGAGGAACCGTGCAGGCGCAAGCTCGCCAACCAGGCCGGCGTGCACCTGGCGGTGGACATGTATTGGAGCGGTTCCGAGGCCCTGGCCACCGCTGTCCAGAAGGTGGTCGTGAACGCGTTCAATTACTCCCGCGACGACGAGCAGCTCCGGTCGGCGAGGACGTTGCCGCGTTTCCAGACACTTCGGCAGCTGACAGTCGAGGGCGACCCGCAACGCGGAGAGGTGGGAGTTTGACATCATCATTCATCGCTGGCTGGGAGGAACCCGGAGCTCGACAAGGGGCCGAAGAGGCTGCCGACGTTCTCCTGTGAAGAGAGTCCCCCATGCAGCTGCGGCAAAAGCGATGAGTTCCAGCTCGCGCCCGCGCCCACCCGCGAGTCTTTCCTTCCTCTGGCCTCCGCATGCTCCTTCTGTTCGCCTTGTCCGTCGCCGCCACGTGTCCTCTTCCTTGAGCCGCAACTGGCCCAAGGACATGGCCATCCCGTCACCCCCCCCGACTCCTGAGGATATTGTTAAGATCTCTAAGAGCTTCAAGAGGGCCACCATTGCCGCCGACGGCAACCACCCCAGGCACTATCAACAAAAATACGGCACATGGAAGAGGACACATGACCAGGAAAAAGGAGGAGGAGAGCGACGACGACGAACTCTCGCAAAGGCTCCGTTGTTTCCCCTTCCGTGCCTCATCGCCCTGCCTCCTCCTCATCCTCCAGACAACCAGTATTTCGTTCGCGGGCAGATCTTCGAGGCTCGACATTCGGCCGACAAGCACGTTGTCACTTCGCTTCGCGCGAGCATATGTACCATGCGGAGATCGCACACGTTTCGGCAGGCCGGCAAAAGCGATGGTTCCACGCATACGCGCGGGCTCTGCAAGACGTCTGGGCTCGAGCGGGATGCACTTCGTCAGCATTTGATCGGCGGCGCTTTACTCTGTCACCTGTCGCCTGCGATGCCAGACGGTCTTCCTGCGGCTTCGTCTCCAGGGGCCCTTTTAGAGCGGGGGCGCAGCAGCGGCAGCGGCACCAGCGCCACCACCGCGGCAGCAGCAGCAGCAGCAGGCCAGAAAGGAGCCTGCGACGCCAGCATGGGGCCTCTCAGTTGGCGAGGTCACGGCAGCCAGGCGACCAAGAAAGGAAGAAGGAGAGCCGCAGGCCAAGAGCCCTCGGTGCCAGGACTGACTGGACAAGCTCAAGGCAGACACGGAGAACGCCACGGCCAAGAGCCAGCTGATGCCCCTCAAGGCGCTGGCGCGTATCCTCACCAAGCTGCGCATGGCCAACAGCCGCGACGTGGCCGACCTAATTGGCGCCTCATTCAGCTGCGTCAGAGCGGCCGCGGCCCACGTGATCGCGCAGGCCCTGCAGGAGACGGGCAAAACATATTCCCAGACGTGCAAGGAGGCGGGCAAGGAGCATGGACTGGGCCCACCGTGGCACACACGTGGCTGGCACCGATCAGGATATTGCTCACAGAGAGCGCCATCCCCAAAATGGCCCCGGCAGCTCTGCAGGTCTACTGGGGCGCAAACGTCGCCAGCATGGACAGCTGCCCGATGGCTCGGCGGGATCAGGCGAGATACTGTCGCACGAGGCCGACGTACTTCAACAAGCGCGAGAAGGAGAAGCCCAAGACATTCAAGCTGCAGTTCATGGTCTCAGCGGAGGTTCAGACGGCGCCGGCCAAGTGGAACGGCGAGAACGTCGGCGCCGTCCACAAGACGGTCTTCCAGAGCCTGCTCGCACACGGGGGGCAGCACAAGCCGGGCGGGCCGCCGAAAGGGCGCGCGCGGAGAAGTTATTTAACCAGCTGGGCACGCAGGAGGGATCCGACGAGAAGGCGAGCGACGACGAGGAGCCAGGGCCTGGATGTCCCACAGACCCGCAATGCCGAGCCCGTCCTGTGCTATGTCAGCCCATCCGGACAAGTGTTCAGAGTTGTCTATGCTGCCCCTTTCCCTTTAACAACGTTGGTGACAGATCTCGCCGCCCGCCCCTCCCACGTTCGAGCCATGCACCTGAGAATGGAAGCATCTACTGCCGTTGCAGCATCAGACGATCGGGCGCATCGGAGATTGGTCAGGTCTCGCACAAACGCTGAACTGTATCAACAGCCCTCGTCGGCCACAGGTGGCGACGAGTGGAGAATCTCGCGAACGGGTTCTTTCTTTTCTTCGCGGGGCCACGCCCGGCCTGCACGCGCCCATGCCTTCCATATGTCGAGCACGCGCGCGGCATAGCTATAGGCTGGTTGCATACAGGTGCTGAAGGGCCTTCGCTCGGAGTGAAGCGCCTGCCAGCAGGCCGCCATTTTCAGCGCGTGCTCGTCGGCTGACTCTCGCGCGCGCTGCTTTGTTTTTGTACACTTCCGAGCTGTCCTTTCTTATGTTCGCGCGAGTGACTCTTTCGACGTCACTCGCGTTTTCAGTTCGACAGTGGCGCGATGCCTTGCCGAGGCCTTCAGGTATCCCTCCGCCGAAGGACCTCGGATTGTGCCAGAGGCATCCCCCTGCAGAGCGATCTAGACAGATGCTCGCCCAGTGCAGCGTACACAGATCCTGAAGCTAATGTGCAAGGCCTGCCGCTTTTCACTGCGCAAGCACATGAAGGAAGTGGATCACGTGTGGTCTTGCCTTGTCTTGACCTCCACCTCCTCCTCCTCCCCCTCCTCCTCCCTCCTCCTCCTCCTCCTCCTCCTCCTCCTCCTCCTCCTCCTCCTCCTCCTCCTCCTCCTCCTCCTCCTCCTCCCCCTTCTCCTCCTACCCCTTCCTTCTCCTCCTCTCCCTCCTCCGCCCCCTCCTCTTCCTCTTCCTCCTCCTCGTCCTCCACCTCATCCTCCTCTTCCTCCTCTTCCTCCTTCCCCATTTCCTTCTCCACCTGCCCCCCCCTTTCTCCCTTTCCATCCCGCCCGCCCACCCCACGCACTTGTCTATCTTGTCGGCTGGGGCACGGATGTAGATTGTCCTCGGCGATCTCGCCGCCACGGCCAGCACGCACGCATTCTCTGATGGCCGGATCGCGAAGCCGCCGGGGCAACCCCGCGGGCCAGGTCGTTGGGGCAACCCCGCGGGCCGCTGGGGGGCGGGATCAGGCCGTCGGGACAAACCCGCGGGCCTCGAGCTGGGCGCCGCCGCGCACACGCGGGAGGCAACGCGAAACCAGGCTTTGCCGCGAGCTCCGCCTCAGCCAGGGGGCTCGCAGCCCATGGGGGGCCCGATAGGGAAGGCGTCCCGTTCGAGACTTCCTCGCGACTCATTCGCAGAAGGTACCCCCATTCGATAACTTTTTTTCAAATTTAGGCCTGAGGAACCCAGAAGTGACGACCATTAAATGATTTGGATGACCTGGTCGGAGTCGAATCATTACGGAAGCGGGGCACCCAATGGGGAGGAGCTCCCGCTCCAAATTTCCTGGCTGTGGACTCACACACGACGCCCCCGTTCGAGACTTCCAGATTCAGGCCTGAGGAACCCAAACGCAACGATTGTTACAGGTTTCAAATGACCCATTCGGATTCGCACGTGGAGGTGGGGACCCCGTAGGGAAGGGCTCCCGATTGAGATTTACTTGTATTGGGATTCACTCACAGCCGAATTTCCCGTAGTCCGTATCCGCACCAAAGGAGCCAAACAATGACCACAGTTGGTGATCGTTTTCGTGTTCATTGTTTTGCCGATAGGGTTTGTATTTTGTTTTTTGGCGCGTGTTTCAAGCATGTGGGGTCTCCACCGTAGGACGCACTGTTGCACAACAACGCACTAAGCAGAGCTTCGGAGCCAGACCGCCCCCATCCGGCCAATGTCGAAACGCCGAATATGACAATTGCCACTGCAAGGTTCGACGAGGGTTCTTCAAGGCTGAGTACATGAAGCGCGGGCCCCATGGGGCCGGGGGCTCCCTCCTGAGATTTCCTCGCAATCCACTCACAAACAAGACTCCCGCCCGAGACGTTTTCCATCGGGAAACTTAAAAAGCCCGAGAACGAGAACAACGACAGTTACACGTTCAATGATGCCCGCTCTAAGTATTTCACGATCAGCGGGCCCCACAGGGAAGTGACTTTCGCCTGAGACCCCGTCACAATTCACTCACACACGAATTGCCCGCTCCATTCACAAACGAGGTTCCCACCCGAGAATTCCTCCTAATTCAGGCCTGAGGAGCCCGAGAGTGACGGCTGTGATTCGCAATCCATTCACAAGCAAGACTCCCGCCCGAGACATTTTCCATCGGGAAACTTAAAAAGCCCGAGAACAACGACAGTTACACGTTCAAGGATGCCCGCTCTAAGTATTTCACGATCAGCGGGCCCCACAGGGAAGTGACGTTCGCCTGAGATCCCTTCACAATTCACTCACACACGAATTGCCCGCTGCAGTCAAGAAAAGCTTGAGGAGCCCGAACGCGACGACAGTTACAGGTTTTTTAACGTACTAGGCGGGATTCGTAGCATGACCTGCGGGCCCCATATAGAAAGGTTCCCGTCTGAGACTTCCTCGCAAGTTACTCACAAACGTAGTTCCCGCTCGAGATTCTTCCAAAGTCTGGCCTCAGAGGTTCGAAAGCCACGATTGTTACAGGTTTGAGGATGACCCGCTCGGATTGGTAAGATGATTCGCGGGCTCCATAGGGCGGGGGTTCCCGTTCAGGTTTTGAGCTATCCACTCACAGACGAGGTTCCCACCCGAGAATTCCTCCAAATTCAGGCCTGAGGAGCCCGAGAGTGACGGCTGTGATTCGCAATTCACTCACAGACGAGGCTCCTGCTCGAGACTTCCTCTATAGTCAGACCTGAAGGGCCCAAAAGGGACGACAATTATAGGTTTGAGGATGACACGCTGCGGCTTAAAAGTGGGGCGCAGGACCAATAGGGAGGGGGCTCCCGCTCGAGACTTCCCTCGAGGTGAGTATGTGAGTACCTGAGTGGGTGTGAGATTGAGGAGTGAGTGCGTGAGTTTGTGTGAGAAAATGACGATGATGGTGATGATGATGATGATGATGATGAAGATGAAGTTGATGATGATGATGATGATGATGATGATGATGATGATGATGATGATGATGATGATGATGATGATGATGATGATGGTGCGATGGTGGAGTGAGTGAGTGAGTGAGTGAGTGAGTGAGTGAGTGAGTGAGTGAGTGAGTGAGTGAGCGAGCGAGCGAGTGAGTGAGTGAGTGAGTGATGGAGTGAGTGAGTGAGTGAGTGAGTGAGTGAGTGAGTGAGTGAGT